ATATTAAATAGTGAAAACAAAGACAAATATATTTCAAACTTGCACGGTATTCACCCAAGTCATTATTATATCATTGTTCACAAAATGCATCAGATAACATTCCAGAAGTAAGCACTTATATAAACATTTAAAATGACAACATATATGTTTAGTGCAAGTTCAATGACAACATAAAGAGTAGTAGTTTATTCTTGAAACTTAAATTTTCAACACTGTGAAGTTAGTATTTGTCTTTTGTTTGAAGTAATGCAATTCATTCAAGTTTCAATTTGCAGAAGAAGAATAGAATCTGAAACTTAAAATCGCAACGCAAAAATGACTATCGCAATGCGAAAATGACTATCGCAATGCGAATTTAACTATCGCAACGAGAGAATCGCAATGCGATTTTCATTTCGCATTGCAATTCTTTCGTTGCGATAGTCAAATTTGCATTGCGATAGTCATTTTCGCGTTGCGATAGTCATTTTCGCGTTGCGATTTTGTTGTTGCGATTTTCATTTCGCATTGCGATTCTCTCGATGCGATAGTAAACTATTCTTCTTCTGCAAATTGAAACTTGAATAGATTGCATTACTTCAACCAAAAGACAACCAAAAACAAATACTAACTTCACAAGGTTAAAGAATAAACATTTAAACAGTTTTGGCAGCAACCGAATGAATTTACTAAGCAATCTAAGTGAAATTATGAGTAAATTTATCATCAAGTTAAATATGAAAAATATTAAACTTATCTCGTTACGTAGAGTATGAACCTCGTTCTGCAACGATGCTACAATCTCACGTAGAGCTGCTACCTCACCACGTAAAGTAGACACCTCAACAAGCCATGCACCATTGTCATCGCGTAAAGTACCGACCTCCTCACGCAAGGCATTGACCTCATTACGTAACTCCCCTAACTCATCCCGTGGAGGTGGAGGTGGAGCTGGAGAACAGGGAGATAAACATCGTGGCATATTTTCCGGCCGCCTATCATGAGGTGATGGTGGAGAAGAGGCTCGATGATGTGACAGAATAGGTGATGACTCTCGTTGTGGAGGTGTATATTCGGGTCGATCAGGTGATGGATCTGGGTGAGGTGATGGCTCTCGAAGTGGTGGTTGCTCATCATCCGTGCCATCATAAAAATGCTTACTAGCTTGCCACCAATCAGTGGCAAGCTCAGCTTCCGTGGGTGTCAGCCTCTGTAATGAAGTGTTGGCCTCCTAACAATATAAAAGCTCAAACAAAGTTAAATGTGTACTAGTAATAACTTGTTTATAAACATATGGTAGTATTTGTGTTAACTTATATTATTTATTATAGTATACGGTAGTAAATCTTCCCATTGCTGCAAGGACCGTTTCCTCTTCCAGGAAATAGCCCTAGGAATATCATTAGAAGTTTTTAATGCATATGTCTGCATGGCGGGAAAGGCCTCAAATATCCAAATATACAAACAATATAATAACAAACATTAGTAATTGTTAAAGAATTAATTATAATTTTGGAAACATTATATAAAAATTATTACCTTAAAGGCTCAAATAAAGCCTGACAAAGTGTATTTGGAACCATCGCCACGCAAACTTTTTCGATCATCAAAGGCAGACAACAATTTATTCCATGTAGCTTTCCATAGATACGAACCCCACGGAAACAGGTTCCATGCATTTAGGTCCTCTACCAATTTAATTATATCATTAGGAATAGGTTGTCGGGCCTCTCTGCCTAAAAAGCCGGCTTGCAAAAGTATTAGAAGGCATACTCGGACAACATCGACGTCATCCATCTGAGTAAAACCATCTTTCTTATTCAATAATATCGTCAAGTCTTATACGTGTAAATTCGGCTTCCACGTGTAAATTCGGCTTCTCCGTTGACAGCTCAGGAAAAACCCGGGAAAACCATGATAGGCGGGTAATATGTCTAGTGTACCGATCTACATCATCGTGTCCGAAGCGTAGACCAGTGATTAAGCAAAACTCCTCCCGCCCAAAACACGTATACGCCGGTGGAAAATCAAACCATATCTCTTCATCACGACGTTGTATAGTCTCTGGTAGATCGCTAGTAATGGTTTGAAGAAACAGATGGGTCAACATAGCATCTCCACCCGGATGTTGTACTTTCAGCCATGGCCCGAAGCAAGTATCCTCAAATATTTTTCTTTGTGCAGGTGAAAGCTTCGACGCAATTGTTTTGGCCAGGCTTACTTTATTTCTTAAAGTCAATTGAGCCGAATAAAAGTTCTGCAAAAACAATAAACATACCAAGTTAGATATACCAAAAACTACACTGTGAAGATATAACAAGAACAATAAACATAAAGAGTAGTAGTTTATTCTTCAAACTTAAATTTGCAACACTGTGAATTTAGTATTTGTCTTTGTTTTTTGGTTGAAGTAATGCAATTCATTCAAGTTTCAATTTGCATAAGAAGAATAGTTTCTGAAACTTAAAATCACAACACGAAAATGAAAATCGCAACACGAAAATGACTATCGCAACGCAAATTTGACTATCGCAATGCAAGAATCGCAACGCGAAATGAAAATCGCAACGACAGAATCGCATTGCGATAGTCATTCTCGGTTTCAAATACTAAAATTGAAAGAAACTTGAATGGATTGCATTACTTCAACCAAAAGATAAAACAAAGACAAATACTAACTTCACAGGGTTAAAGACTAAACAGTTTAGCAGTATTGGCAGTGATCGAATGAATTTAATAAGCAATCTAAGTGAAATGGTTAATCTATTATTGAAAACACCAGTAAACTTATCATCAATTTCAATATGAAAAACCTAATAATAATGCAAAAATTTCAAAATAAAAATAATTAAAAAAACTAACCCTCGGTGGTTGATTTGGTTGATTTTCCATTTCTGACTGTGAATGATTTCGCCGGAGATGGAGACTGATATCGTCGGAGATGGGGACTGATTTCGTCGGAGATGGGGACGGATGTCGCCTTAGAGAGTGAGAGATGGAGATGAGACTGAGTTTTGATTTAGGGTTTTAGGTTATGAGTTGCGATTACGGGATATACTGTAGACGGTTCAGTGTTCCGATATATTAATATATTCGTGTTTGGAATTTGAAAAAAAAATACGCGTTGCGATACGAATGACGCTATGTAAATCGCATTGCGATAGTAAGATTCTCATTGCGATTTACGTATTCGCATTGCGAATTAGGAAAATCGCAACACGAATTTGGAAAATCGCAATGCGATAGTCAGAATCGCGTTGCAAATCTAGAAACTGATTTGCGATACCGGAGATCGCGTTGCAAATTATCGATCGCATTGCGATTTAGTTGGTCATTTTGGCAAATCCAAAAAAGGTTGGTTAAAATCGTATATTATAAGGCATTTTTGGTCACTGAGGTTATTTTCTCTTACAAATAAACATGAATTTGGGTTTGGGGGCTGAAAAATAATATATACTGGTTGGCGCGTTACATCATTTGGTACGGGGACATAACCGCCACTGTGCGCACATGCAGGGACAAGCCAGAAAGAAAAACAAAATTGTGGGGACTTAAGTTAAATTAAAATTTTTAAGAGGTTAAATTATGATTTTAATATTTGTTTAATATAAAAAGTTTTCAAATTATACTATTTTTTAAATTACTTGTCTAAACTTTTTTCGACTTAACATTTTGGAGTTACTATTTTAAGTGTTTATGTAGTAATAGTTGTTAAAAAATTTAATTATATGACATGTGTTACTGTTATATTTTTTTGAAAATTTTATTTTTTAAGAAAATTAAAAATATTATTATATTTTAAAAAATTCTAATTTCTCTAAAATTTCAACAAAAAGAAAACGACTCGAATCTATAACCCTAATTACATTCCTCTTTGTCACCTCTATTGTGGGCTATTGTCATCGCTACCATCATTGTCATCTCTATTGTCAACATGTTGCATGTCGAACAATCAGCACCCAAAACACAAGATAGTTATTGGTGAAGCCTCATAAGCCCATCGAAGTACGGGATACACACGTAAGAATCTTAATTGCAATTAGGGACGAATGTAAAATTTATGTTAGAGGACAAATTTATAAAATTTTAAGGGCACAAACAGATTTTCAATAGAAAATACATAGAAAAATCTATATTGTATAGTAATTTGAAATTTCCAGGGACAATTGTCCTCACCCGCCCCCCCCCTCCCCCTCAGTTCATCCCTAATTGCAACAACGAGTGATTATTGCCGACAGATGATTGCTATAGACATGTCGCATTAGAGGTTCGATCGACACCTCATTCGTGGACGACGACAACGGCAAAGGACGATTTTTAACTGTCGTGACAGACCAAACACTCAAAACGGTTATGTTGATAACATTAAACGCTTACATTGACGGAAAAAATTTAAACACTCAAAATGAGAAGAAATTATAATTTTAACATTTTTATATTAAAAAATCTTTAATTTTTTTTTAGAGTTGGTAGAGCACATAAAATAATATTGTGAAGAGATCGGGGATATAAACTGTGGGGCCTAAATTTCTTATTTCGGCCAATCTGATACATGCACAAATGTGATGAAGTCGATTGATTCCAACCTTCTCAAGAGATTATTTGAGAGTTTGGAACAACATCCAATTTTTAAACTTTTTGAAGGACCAAACATGTTTGAGTTTTTTTTTTCGTAATCGTATAAATCTGTTTAAGCGATACAATCGGATTTCGGCAGCTATATAATCATCGAAAAGACTCAATTTTTTTAATCTAAATGTAATTAACTAAATTTTATGTAGTGGCGTTGTTTTTCATTAATGCAAAGATTTGCCGAGTTTGGAAAGGAAGGGGATATTGATTTTGTTGATTGCATATTATGAATTCATTATCTTAGGGGAATATAAATTCCAAGTTGATTTGGGATCCCAAAATGAAATTTCCTGATCAAGCACAACAATTTGAGAGAATTGAAGCTGCTTAATTTTAAGTATTTCATTTGTTTTGCTCTTAAATTAATGAATCTAGCACCCGTTTCTGGTAAAATCCATCACGCCACGCATGAATCACATTTTCGTACTGAAAATACAAATACCATAAACCCTCTGCGCAGCTTCTCCTCTCTTTGTTTCTCTGAAAATGTTCCAAAATCGTCCATACCTTTCCGCCTCTCTTTACTATCTAAACGGCTTATAACTTAACGCACTTGTATTTTGTTCTTCCGGCATTTTCTAATATACACGGTCATGGCGTGTTGCAGACGGGCAAAGGTTTTAATCAACAGCTTGCGCAGTAATTTCACTTCAAGCCCTTTTCTCAGATCCCCAATCAGTGTTTCATCTCCCATAATCGCTCCGAGCTTTGGGTCTTCGGTTTCATCTGCTAATAGAGCTAAGTTTTCTGGGTTCTCTTCATATTCTTCTATCTCACAAAGACTGGGAATATCTAGTAAATATCATTATAATCCGTTTTCTAATGGTGCTAAGAGGTTTTACTTTGTCGATCGGTACCAAGTTCACCATTTTAAGCCGAGGGGTTTTCGAAGGTGGTTCCAAAATCCCAGAAATGCTTTCATTGTTGTCTTGGTTGGTTCAGGGGTTTTGATTACTGTATATTTTGGTAATTTAGAAACTGTTCCTTACACTAAGCGAAAGCATTTCGTGCTCTTGTCTAAAGAGATGGAGAAAAAGTTAGGGGAGATCCAATTTGAGCAATTGAAAGCTGGATTTAAAGGAAAGATATTGCCTGCAATACACCCTGAAAGCGTTAGAGTTCGACTGATTGCCAAAAATATTATCGATTCGTTGCAGAGAGGGTTGAGCCATGATCAGATATGGTGTGATTTGGAGTATGCATCACCTGAGAGTTCACTTGAACATGGTGCAACGGAGACATTGGGTGGGGGGGAAGAAGATTTGGGGATCACTTGGTCTCGTGAAGATGAGATTCTTGATGATCAATGGGTTCAACAAAGCAGGAAGGAGAGTCAACAGAAATGGTCGAGCTCGAAGCCGACGACTAATCATTTGGAAGGATTGAATTGGGAAGTTTTGGTCATCAATCAGCCTGATGTAAACGCTGTGTGTTTGCCTGGTGGGAAGATTGTGGTCTTCACAGGGTTGCTTGAGTATTTCCGAACCGATTCCGAGATTGCTACCATAATTGGACATGAGGTAGACATTGCTTCTAAGTTCAGTTTGTTTTTTTAGCTGGATTTGTGAGTGATATGTTACCATTGTGATTGTCTGATTAGGTTGCACATGCAGTGGCTCGACATATAGCTGAAACAATAACAAAGAATTTGTGGTTTGCCATTCTGCAATTGATACTTTATCAGTTCATTATGCCTGATCTGGTCAACACAATGTCAGCACTTTTCTTTAGGCTCCCCTTCTCTCGGAGGTATATTTATGTTTTCTATATTTGTTCCTTTTAAGATGGGAAAATTATATACACAATAGCTATACAAATTTCGAACGCATAAATAATTAATGACATAATGGCTAAATGCATGTGTAGTTTGTGTATGTTATATGTGAATGTAGCATTGTACTTATATGCCATGTTTCTCGAGCTTAGGTGCGAGTGTTGGGTAAGGGCATATGTTTGACACTGGTATGTTCAATTTTTTTTTTGATTTACATGTAATTGGGAGATCTTTGGAAGATCAAACACCTATACGGCTATACCTATGTTCAAATATGTGTTAAACACTGATTCTTTAAGAAAAGTAAAAAACCCGAGAAACATTTGAATTGATGCTAACATGGATCACCTACTCTGCATGAATTTTTCAACTTAGTGTTTAAATGTATGGTTCAGATTTGTTCTTCCAATGCCTGCATACTGCATTTGCAATGCCATTAGGCTGTGGATGTACCATAAAAAAGTAACAGCGCAATGGCTTTGTGAATCCATTTAATGGAAACTAATTCCTTTTGGACTTGTTATATTCATGTTTGTTCAAGCAAATAAATTACTATGAAGTAGAATTTGAGAGTTTTACTTGTGTTATTTTCTTCTTCTTTAATTATTATCTTCATAGGTTGTAAGATCTTATGCTATCCAGACTTAACTGAGTATCGGATTAGATATGTGTCTCATATGGTTCCATACCAAGTTCTTTCCTTAAAAATTTCCTATATTTGGAGGACCATACTTTTGTTTTGTACCTATGTCCAAATATGTGTGCAGATCTTGGACACAATACTTTAGAAAGAAAAATGAGTCCGAATATCATAGAGGCATGAAGATAAGCATATCAACAAACATGCTTGATGCTTTAGGGAAAAGAAAAGCTCATTTTTCTTCTTCTAAATACTATCCAATCTCTGATTCTGGGAATAGTTAGACGCTTGTTCAATATCAGAAGATAGTAGGGCATTGTCACCTGGAGAAAGAAGAGTCCATGTAGTAATCTAAATAACTAGGGAGAGTTGGAATTTATGTAAGCTTCCCAAATCTTGATCCAGTTCTTTAACTGACATATCTTATGTCTTGGCCATTTACTCTGAAAACACATCTGTCAATTGTTCGGGCATGCCTTAACAATGTGCTTTCATTCATGTATGGACACTGCAATCTGTATATTCTTGATTTATTTGTATTATTTTTGTCTTGATCATATTTAAGATATTATATATTTATATGATTTTTGACTCGTTTGTATATCAATATTACCTTTGTGTTATACTCATGCTGTAACATTTTTTTGTTCGTATCGCGTGTGCATATAAACTATATTTACTTCTATTTGATCTGAAAAATGATGTGTAATCAAATATAGATATCTGGCTCGAGGTCTGATGAGAGATCTTTTCATTCTTTCCATTGATCTAAAAGCACAAGCTTTGCAATTGAATTCCCTTTGTGGGCTATGTGAAATTCCTGCTTTTGTTTTATTAAATGAACTTACTCCTCAAATGTTTTATTGCGTTTAATATAACATTTGTTAGTGAATTTGTTTTTAGTATCCATGTTTGACACCCGTATCCGGCATGGGTAAGGGGATATGACTATTTCTAAGAGCTCGAGAAAACTTAGAAATATTGAACATGCCCTTGTCGGACGTATATCCATATTTGATACTCATACCCGAGTACAAGGTCCTTGTTAAATGTCATTCTCACGTTCTTCTCAGTGCTTAACCCATACTATCATTTTTTTTACAGGATGGAACTTGAAGCAGATTACATTGGACTGTTGTTGCTCGCATCTGCCGGCTATGATCCTCGGATTGCTCCCAAAGTGTTTGAGAAATTAGGTAAGGTTGCAAAGGATTCAACACTGCAAGATTATCTCTCAACACATCCGTCTGGAAAGAAAAGAGCTCAGTTGCTGGCTCAAGCTCAAGTAATGGAAGAAGCACTCGTGATTTACCGAGACGTAGTCGCAGGACGTGGTGTTGAGGGCTTTCTTTAGGATCGCAACACGCTGCCAATGAGCTTCTCACCCTGAAAGCTAGACCAAGCCCACGAAGCTCAAGAGCTTCGTGAACTTCAACTTGGTACCTGCGTTCATCATTTTTCCATTTTCTGCCAACTTTATTTCTGATCAATACTTTCATGTCGAGCGGATTTGGGTTCTTCTGCGTCAAGTTTGCTTTTGACCACGTCTCTCCAGCAACTGTAAATAAAATTGCAAACATGAAAATGTTGTTTCTTTAACGTAGGTTTATTTGGTAGATGGATCATTTTATAAAGTATATTTTTGGACCAATTTGGTTGTTTGATTTTATAATGTTAGATTTAAAAAGAGAGAGAGAGAGACTAGAGTAGAGTCGAGCTTTTTTAAAGATGAGGTCGAATCGGTTTGAGTTTATATCATTCAAGAATAATAAAATAACTGGTGGATTGATCACATATAATAATACTTTCTTTTAAATTTATTTATAATATATATCTTTTTATTTTTTATTTTTGAACAATCATTTAAATTGTTTTTATTTTAAATTTTAAACAAGTGATTATAATTAAATCAGAATAATTAAAATATCATTTTAAAATTCAAATTTTAAAAAATTATTGATAATATATTTTTTCTTAATAAAATATTATATATATAAAAATAGTATTAATGAATTATCTTAAAATAAATTTTATAGTTTAAATTAATATATTTTATATATCATGATATTAATAAGTGAAGCATAATTTAAATATAATATTTTTAATTTATAATATAATATTTAAAATAGACATTTTATCGTTTTTAAGATTAATTATTAACAATAATTTTAAATAATTAAATTTTAAATCACATTTTTAAAAACTATTTTAAAAATTTCTTTTCAAAACCGACGTCAAATCCTTATATGTGGACCCAATTAGTAGTCATCCCTGCAACTCAAGAAGACGCCTTTAATATCTTTTCATTCTGTTTAATCTCTTATGTATGCCATTTTCTGAGTTTGAGCATGGTGGAACCGAAATGTCCAACGCTCAAAGCCACCATAACACGCTTAATCGAAGAGTTCAAGGTTCTGAAAGAGCTTAAACAAATACATGCCCATATCATAATTTCTCCAAAGCTATCCAAAGCCCATCGAGATTTTCTCACTACTCGCCTCCTCTTCGCTTCTGCTTTCTCAGAATCCGGCTCTCTTTGCTTTGCAACCAGGGTTTTCAAATTCATTCAGAACCCAACACTCTCCGTATATAACATCATGATTAGAGCTTACGCTTCAAAGACCCGCGACTCAGATAATACCCACAATTTTGAACCTTTACTTCTCTTCAAACAAATGCTTTTCAGTGGCATTTCGCCGGATTGCATTACGTTTCCTTTTGTTATAAAGGAATGCGCCGGTAGGCTTGATAGCCGTGTAGGGTGTAGCATTCATGGGGAAGCTGTTAAATTTGGATGGTTTTGTGACGTTTACGTTCAAAATTCGTTGGTAAGCTTTTATTCTGAATGTGGGTTTTTAAACAGTGCCAGGAAGTTGTTTGATGAAATGCCGAAGAGGGATGTTGTTTCGTGGAATTCCATAATTATTGGATACTTGAGAGGTGGGAATCTTGACATGGCATTGGAGTTGTTTAGACGTATGGAAAAGAGGAATATCATCTCTTGGAATTCGATGATAACCGGTTTCGTTCAAGGTAGGAGGGGCAAAGAGGCCTTACAATTGTTCCATGAAATGCAGAATTCAAGTAATGATAATGTTAAACCGGATAAAATCACAATGGCGAGTGTACTTTCAGCTTGCGCTTACCTTGGTGCAATTGCTCATGGGAAATGGATACATGGTTACTTAAGCAGAAGTGTCGAATGCGATGTGGTGGTTGGAACAGCATTAGTTGATATGTATGGTAAATGTGGTAGTGTGGAGAGGGCATATGAGGTCTTTAAAGAGATGCCTAAAAGGGATACCTTGGCATGGACTGCTATGATTTCTGCATTTGCACAGCATGGTTATAGTAAGGAGGCTTTCAGCACCTTCGAGGAGATGGAAGCCATGGGAGTGAAGCCTAACCATGTCACATTTCTCGGGTTATTGTCAGCTTGTGCTCATTCCGGCATGGTAGAGGAAGGTCGCTGGTGTTTCAATATGATGAAACGTGTTTATTCAATAGAACCCCAAATTCACCACTACGCTTCCATGGTTGACGTCCTCAGTCGAGCCGGGCTATTCGAAGAGGTAGAAGAGCTTATCAGAAGCATGCAAATGGAGCCGGATGTGTTTGTTTGGGGAGCATTACTCGGAGGCTGTCAGATTCATGGGAATTTAGAATTGGGAGAAAGGATAGCAAAGTATTTGATCAATTTGGAGCCGATGAACCATACTTTTTATATCAACTTATGTGATATATATGCCAAATCTGGTAGATTTGATGACGTGAAGAGAATGAGAGCCTTGATGAAAGCAAGAGGAATAAGAAAAGAAGTTGCAGGTTGTAGCCTGATTGAAGTTGATGGGCTCGTTCTCGAGTTCTCGGTTGAAGGATGCCCTGTGCCCGTGATGGATGAGATAGTGGTGGTCTTAAATTTATTTAAGAATGAGATGAAGGGTGAAAGTACCCTGCATTACTATTATGGGATATTGTTGGATTCAAATAATTGATGACCATTTGTGGATTATTATTGGCTTTCTCCTCTTTTACATGTAAAAGATTCGTATAGCACTGCATTAAACCATAATGCTTTCTTCATATCTATTTTCCAATCTCTTCCAACTCTCTGAACATCATCTCATCAGTGTTCCATAAAGCATCCCTCATCTCATCAGACATCCAATTTCTTTCTTCATAGAAGCCCCCGGCTGATGCGGATTCGAGGCTGAAACCCTCCGTGTCATAGCCACTGCTGCCGATGTTGCAAGTTTTGTTAACTATATGGTCATACATACTTGGACTTGTTAGGTCAGTTTCCTCTGAAACATTGGTGAAATCTGTGTGATAAGTCACCGATCTCGAAATTTCAGAGGAATGGTTTGAGTTGCCTGGGATTTTGATTGTTGACAATGAAGGGTCTATGCAGTTTAACAATTCACACAGAACTGAGGTTTGGGAGCTCATCCCCTTCAAAGAAGTATGTTCCACTTTTTGAAGCAATCCCGGCATCCGTAAACATTGAACCGCTTCGAGGAAGCCCTTGCTGTCGTCGACATTGGGTCGGCATGCCTGTTTTTGCACCCTTGTTCTCCAATAGTTCTTGATCTCGTTGTCTGTTCTTCCCGGAAGTTGTGCGATTTTGGACCACCTAGAGAGAAATACAAGGCCATTACTAAACAATGGTAAACACCAAAAGGGACCACTGCAACAGATAAAATTACCTGTTTCCCCACTTGGAATGAAGTTCAAGAATTAGGAGCTGCTCTTGTGGAGTCAGGTTTCCACGTTTGATGTCGGGTTTTAAGTAATTCAGCCACCTCAATCTGCAACTTTTACCGGTTCTCTTGAGACCTGCACATTTGGCCAACATATTCCAACGACCTTCTCCATGACGAGTAATGTAATGGGTTAGGAGAGTGTCCTCTTCAAGGGTCCATGGCCCTCTTCTCAACTTGCTGTCCTCTTTGATAGGGATGGTCATACTAAAAGGAGGCATAGCCATATGTAAGTGAGATCGGCAAACTGAAATTTATAGGCTTGGAGGAATGAAAACAAGGTTCAAGCTACACCTAGAAGGTACAAAATCTTGAAGAACAAAGCATACACTGCAATTGGTTCATGAACCATTATATAGGTTCAAAATTGAAGGAAATGGCTCTGAGCTGGATTAGTCCAAGTGTCTTGCTTATCACCCCTTCGAACTTAGTGCCCTTTGTTGGTGATCAGTCTTGTTTATCTTTTTACAAGGACATACATGATGATAAGACCTCAATGTTGGAGATGGTGGTTATGTCCTTGGTAGACTTGATAATTTATGTCGTATATTTTATCTACCATTATGATTTAAGCTATTTCTTTAGGCTTAAAGGTATACTTTTGTCATCGTAGTAAACTCAAATTAGTAATATTATTCCTAATTTTTAATTGTATCAATTACACCTTTGAACTCAATATTCAATTGCATTAATCTTGTTCTTTGACCACGGTTATCATGATTGACCGTTACGGTACTACTGACGTGACATTATAGACCGTAGATTAAGCCTCTCGTCACATCATCATTGACACGTAAATTATCACATTAATATTAAAAACCATTACATTAGTTTTGTAACGGTCACTGGCGGGTTTTATTAATCAAAATACAAGATTCATACAATTTAATAAGTTTAAAAACTAAATTGTTAGATTAAAAAGCATGAACACTAATACTGATTTGAGTTTAATATAATAAGAAAGCTAAATCTTAAGCTTTTTTTATATACAAATTACAAACATATTGTATATTAATGTATTCGCATGTTATTAATATTTTTTTTTCAGTATCATGTTGTGTTCATGTCATGGTTTTAGTTATACTTTTCATGGTATGTCATTATTGTATAATGATATTGGATCATTTACATCAAATCTAAATCATGGGTTTAAAAGTCCACGAATGGATTGAAAACAACTTATGGTATCCAGAAGGCTCAATAATTGATGTGAAAAGCGCTTTTGATTTGTATTTTGGAAAGCATCCGTGATGATCCAAATTATTATTATTATTATTAGGGTAAAGTGGTCTCTCGATTGTATAGTGTTACAAATCAACGTTCATGTTCATTAAGATTCCATACTGTGCATGTACATGAAGTAAATATTTAATGTACCTAAAGAGCTAAACTGAGACTCTTACGATGATGAAGTTGCCCTATCGTAAACTAAAGAAAACTATAACATGCTCATAGATATGATTCGAAGAAAAAAATAGAATATAAATTTATAATTTATAATAAATATAAATAACTCCAATTGTTTACAATATACAGACAAGAGCATTGTGAGGTTATCCGGGGAATTCAGGAAACGGAAGGATTACACATAAGAAACAAGATTTAATATGATCTAATTCTACTTAAAATAATCTATTATAAACATAGAAATTATAAAGAGCACAAATACATAAAAATGATTGTTTTCTACAAGCGCAATATATAAATCTCAAAACTTTATGTATCCCGTGATACTCTTTCAATATCTTTATAGAATTTATATATGTAACAAAGATTTCAAAAGTTATAGAGATCGTAAAAATGATTATACATCTCCAAAATAATTTTCCCTTAAATTTTTAAATGTTAAAATCTGCGTATATTTATAGAAGAAAAAAAGTCACAAAGCATCCTTAAGTCGTAAAAATTTGTCTAAATAAATTTAATTATCATATAATCTTTGACCACTAAAATTATAATAAAATTCAACGTAATTATCAAATAAAATTCACTTGAATGATTGATTTTACGTGTTCAACAACTTTAAATTAAGAGATTAAGCAAGCAATTGTGTTGTGTAGGCTACAAAAAAAAAATCAAGCCACCAAACGAGTTATGAAGGCCTAAACCAGACGGGAAAAAAGTAATTGAGTTGGGTAGTGAGGTATCAAATGGGCTCAAACACTAATATTAAATACTCATATTTTCAAAAGGATTTTCTCTCTCTGTACCATCTTAATAGTTAATACTATCCATAGTGATAAGTAGCTGGTGAGCATGTAGTGATGAACTGCTGCTCAATCAACATTACTATTTGTTGATAGGAAGTCAAAATCCATATTATTAGTACATAGTCAATTTTGTTGATATTTAACTCTATTTCTCTCTTTTGTATCTTAAAAATTATGTGAATTTCAACACATTTATATTTATTACTTCCTTCGTCCTATAATTTGTGTTTAATATTAACTATGTACATAGTTTTAGAAGATATACTTAATTAAGGGAAATGACAAAGTTATCTCTAAAAGCTGATTGATATATTTGATATGTTTATTTTGATAGATGTAAAATAGTATGATATATAAAGGTAAAAAATGAAATACAAGCATGGTTGTTTGTTGGCTTACTAATAGGACAATTTTAAAAGGGGTAAATTATACGTTTAATATCTAAACTATCAGTTTTGTTTCGTCTTAGTGCCTAAACTTTCATTTGTTTCAAAATCATACCTACATTTACTTTTTATTTCATTTTAGTAACTCACCGTTAAAAACTTAATGGAACTACTGCACATGGCATTTTTATGGGTAAATTACATCATTCATTACTCAACTATATTCTCATTCCTATTTTGGTCAATAAAGTTCAAAAATTTTCAATTTAATTACTCAACTTTCAAATTGCTAATGTTTTAATCACTCTACTTTGTTTTATTAATAATTTTGTGACATGACTGTCGAAACGGTCCTTACAGCTTTATAGGGCTATGGCGAGGATCTTTTCAACTTAATCTTGAGAAAATGTTGGGTTTTGAAATAAATACATAAATAAACAAATTTGGAGTCGCCATCGACCTTTTAAAATAGTTTTAAGACAAACAATTTTTAAAAGATAAAAAAATGATCTGTGTTTGACCAGAGTGTAACCCCCACAGACCGATAAGGGTAACCAGATCCGATTCGGGGTGTCACATTTGGGCCACCGGAGCGACCCACTATAAAAATAGCGGAAAATTTAAAACTTTTATTGAAACGTATAACTTATAAAATCAGTTGTCACTATTTAAAAATAAAACAGATTTCCAGACTCGTATATAAATCAAAATACAATTGCATGCCCCCTAATCACATGTACCATACTCTGCAACAACGCCGGAAGAACTCCCTTACTGAAGTCGATAGATGCACTGGTACAATTCTTTTAACCTGAAAATGTGAGTAATAGAGTGAGCTTTGGAAAACTCAGTAATACAGAACTACTAGATGATGCTGATGAACGTGCAGATACAGATAAATATATATTTCCTTATTGTTTCCGAACATTTACAGATTTTTATGTTGAGCAGAGATCCTACTGATATTTCAGGTGGTAACGGAAAATGAGTTTTCAGTTCAGAGAAATATTTTGGATGACTGAATTCAGGAGATCAGAATAGGTTATCTAGTGTGTTCCCATAAAACCAGTAAAAAGATACATATTTTTATTTTAAAACATATATATATATACACCCCCATCCTTTCACAATCTGTTTGTGTAGGTTCCCCGGAACCATACACCCTGCACAACCAGTAAGGCCTTAAGCACACAGCCGAGAAGCCTGCAGATAATCTTCCTCTAACAATAAACCCCCAGATAAAACATTTCTCCGTCGGTAAACGGAGATATCAGAAATCAAAACAGAATTCAGATAAGATATCAGAACAGAATCCATATCAGAAATCAGAACAAAATTCAGGTAATGTATTAGAACAAGATTCAAGTCGGAAATCAGATAAAATATTTATATAATTAGTGAACACACCAGAGTTTACAGATATTATTCAGAGGTACTGGATAATCTTATCAAACAGAAAAACACATATCTTCAGTATGTCGATAGAATGTTGGAATTTAAAGTCATTGTTGGAAGAGATCAATAATTGACAGAATCATCAGTTATTCAGAATGAGACTTGAGATGATAAGGAAGAATTGAAGGTTCATGACATTTACAATCTATGTCGATTGATCGGATTATCGAACAACTATTAGATGAATAATTCCTAGAACTAATACTTATCGACTGGTCAATTCGTTGTCCTTCCGGGGTATTTACATTTTAATACAAAAAATTCTTATCCATAGACCATCTTCGGAATCATCAATGAATAGATCTTCCAATGTCTTTATTTCATTTTTCACGCTTTCACTATATCATGAAATGTTGACATGCTTGATTTGTAGTTCATGAGCCATAAGAACATTACATCATGTATGTTCATTAACGTTTCCAGACTCATCCAAATCACTTACTTAATCCATAGTCCTTAAGGTTACTTAATTCATTTAGTAGTTAAGTCCATTCCAGTTACTTATGAGTTCTCCAGGGTAATCCAAACGTTTCTGAATTTCAGATATATATTGTACTTCCTTTCAATTCAATTTGGTATCCGTGGTTGATTTGTCTAACGAATATCCATTTCTTATTACCGAATGCGATCTAGAGTTGAGCTGAGCTGAGTACTTCCAAAATTATCATCGAACCACACTTGAGAAGACGAACACACCTTCAATTGATACCTATGTCGTTCAGGTACTGACATATCATTACGGTTGATCAGCTCGCTTAAGTTATTCCATAACTTCTAAAGGTAGTCTAACACCTATGCTTATTTGGATTCCTTAATTAATCCAAGACATTTACTTAATATAGGCCATAAGGGTTCAGTTTTATTCCATTCATTTCAGAGCTCGAGGATATTCAAACATTCCTGAGCTTGGTGATATTCTTGAGTCATTTACATTACATGGGTATTTTGGTCATTTTACAGATTCAGCATATTTCAATCCTTTCCTTCCGTCCGATCTTACTATTAAATTAAATCTTATCATTTATTTCAGTCCTTTCGAACAATTCTGACAACAGAGCACCCCGACAAATTATTCTTCATGTATTTACTCATAACTCGGATATTTCTGGGTCAAGTGTCTTCTCAGATTTTACAAATGGAATATCAGGAATTTTCCTGAACTAAGTCAGGATCTTAACCAACAAATATGTGCTTAATCGAGTTAAGTATGAATCCTCAAAGTATTTTTCCATTCAGGGTTAACTCAGACTATT